TATTAGTTCTATCGGACTTTTTTCGACTATATGAATCTTTATTTTTTGTAAACTTTAATGCATAAAATATTTTCAATCTAATAAATAATTTAATGATGTAAATAAGAGGAAATTTCTCACATGGGTGGTCAAATTCTATAGTTTTCATTATATCAAACAGCCTCTGAATGTTTTCTTCAGTGCAAAACTCATCAAAATTTAATATAAATAACTTTTCCATTTCCAGTAAATAAAATGAACAAATTTTTCCACTTTCATGATCAAAGGCTTTTAAATGGGTAAATAATTTCGAGTTATCCAGAGATTCGGATTCTTTTGCAAATTTTAGACAAATATCACATTGATGTATGTGAAGACCCTTTTTAATGATGTAGTCAAACATAATTAAGGCATTTTGAGTTGAAAAACATTTCTCAGAGGCTGTTTGATATAATGAAAACTATAGAATTTGACCACCCATGTGAGAAATTTCCTCTTATTTACATCATTAAATGATTTATTAGATTGAAAATATTTGATGTATTAAAGTTTACAAATAAAGATTTATATAGTCGAAAAAAGTCCGATAGAACCAATAGAAAGGTACTATTTTGTCACATTTTTAATTAAATTTTGTTAAATAAATTAATTCTTTATACTATAAATATCTTTTTTTTCCTTATAAATAAACACATTTGTATCCCATTTTAAATAAGATATACAAATTACCAAAACTTAGAAATAACAGTTCAAAAGTTCAACAAAAATCCTACACCCGTTTTTATAAAGAAACATATAACCACGCACTATGTCATTCCAGCAAGAGAATACGACACATCATAGGTTTCCGGACTAAACGACTGGTGTATTTACACCACTCAATAGGCGTGTGGCGTTTGCCGAGCGGTTTCCGATGCAGTCGCTTTCTTTCGCATCTGTTATAGGTAATTTTTAATATGCATTACTTTTGAAACAGCAACAGTTACTCAACATTTTCCACCTAGCTTCATTAATTTTTACACAATGAAAAAGCATCAACCTTTCGACGAACACCTCGCCAACACAACTTGTTGTTTTTCCTCAAACTCGCTGGAAAATTAAACCCGGAAAATTACTACGGTGACTTTTCATTTCCCTCTTTCGCGTCGTCCTCGTGTTTTTTTCCACTGCCGAAGAAAAGTTTCGAGGTCTTTTCGCGCCAACCCCCGCTCCGAAGGTCGTCACAGCCACTAACAAACGAAATGATTGATGAGGACCGTGATTTGGGCCATAATTCTGGTCCAAAGGGAAGTTTTTCTCGCCGGGTTTCGTTTTATTCTGGCGACGTAGATCGGAGGGTGTCAGAAATCGCGCTTGTATTTTTTCTTCGTTTGTGAAGGATTTTCATAACTTTAGGAATGATTTTGTTTTATCTTACAGAGACTAATATAAATACTTCAATAATTCTATAATATTGTTATTTTATATGTACCTGTATATTATACATATACTATACAGTGTGAGATTTCTACGATGTTCTCTACGGGTATCTCGGAAACTACTGAAGATAGAGAGTCGGTTAAATGGGGAAACAATTGCAGTTTTGTGGAGTCATAAACTTGCGCCTTTCAGATTTCTGAAAAAAGTTCTTCATGGCTTACTAGATATTTCGAAAAAAACAAATTTTGTCTATTTTAAAAATTGTCCCTAATTTCATTATAATCTATTTTAGACAAAAAGTTTTCAGATAAAAGTTGTAGATAATCACAGTCTTAATGAGATTGTGTCCTCCGTTTTTTTTTTCTAAAGTCTATTATTTTTGACATTGACACAAATATATGTTTTTTTTTTAAATGGAAACTATAGTTGGCCATGACTTCATAAAAAGCGCCATTTTTTAAGCTTTTCAGCGATATAAGCTATAATATGTTTTTTTTTTCGAAAAATTACTGAGTTATAGCCAATTCTTATCATTTTTATCAAGTTCAATCGTCGCACAGTGGTTCAGATTGCCAAAAAGTGGCGCATAGGATATTTTTAATTTTATTACAAATTCTAGACTTATTAGGTTTAATGGCGGATTTATTAACATGACAAAGATAGTCCAAGGAATAAACAAAATATATTTCAGACTATGTTTGTTTAGTATAAAAATATTAAAAAAGAGGGATTTTCTATGAATTTTATTCAAAAATTATAGTTTTTAAAAAGGTTTGAAATATGCTTCGAACCTAGTCAAAAAAAGAATACCCATTAGGTTATCTGGTCTAAATTAAAGAAACAAATATAAATTGCAATATGCGTTAAATGGAATCTTCAAACTCATTTTCTTCATGACATGATTCACTACCACTTTCTTCTAGTTCTTCTTCACTATCTGATTGACAATAATATTCTGTTGCCATATGAGTGTCATCTGCGGGTAAATTTTCACCTATTTTTAGTGGCGACTACTTTCTCTGGAAATTCAAACCCTAGTTGGACTGCTTTTGCCGTTTAATTTTTATGTTCCTTCCGTAAATTAGAAACTGTAGCATATGCCAGAACTTCCGAGGTGTAAAAATCTCTAATTTCTAGAAATAAATTGATTTTTAATCTTTGCCGTTAATTAAAAGCAATAATGCAATATTTGCAGCATTATGTAGATAAAAAACATGTTTTTTTCTGTAAGATATTATAAATTAATTCCTTGGCAATATATACCTTTGGCCTCTTTATTTTTTTGGGACTTGGACAATTCTGAAAAAAAAATTCTTGAAGGGCCAGGATCATCAAAAGATTGATTCTCTTCCATTTGAAGTAAATTTTATTCAGCCAGAGACAATTGTTGGAAATAAAACTGCTCCAAGTATAATTACATTTCCTCCACTTTTCTGACCATTTATAAACAAAATTTTCAATTTGCTTTTTTTTTTCGATAAAATGTTTGGTTTGGAATATTATTATCACACAAAAATGAAATAATTTCATCAATAATATCTGCTTCTGACCTATTATTAAAACCCCTTTTTCAAAAACCTCCCACATATTGATCTGCGGCTTATTGTTCCTAAAAATAAAAGGAATAGAGTTAACTATAGTTACACTTTTACCACTCCAGAGTTACTCAAAAAATATAAGTATAATAATTTATCCATGGAACAAAAATCAGACTACTGGTCAATTTAAAATTCTAATTTATATATCATCTACCTCGGGGTCTCTTAGGGTAAGATACTTGTGGTAAATTAAACTTGGTATAATACCTTTTAAAAATTATAAAATACAGAAGCGGAGATCTGCGGAGTTCTAAAGATACACAATTTCAAAGTTTATTTTTTTTTTCAAAAAAACGCTCTACTATGTTTGTGGTAACTAGTAGATTCATAAAAAAATATTTAAGTTAATACAATTCTCTTAAAAAGTACTTACCTTGGTCTTCAAAATCCATTATAATTTAATTTATTTCCAAGTCTCTGAATGAACAACCAATTTATATTAGCAACACTAAACCATTATCAGCAAATAACTGATATATTTAAACTACAAAATCTAACGAAATCAACATTCCTGTATGCTTTTTTATTGCGATTAAAAAGTGGATCGTGATAAATTTGAATAAATGGACCTTTCATCTGTTGAAAATAATTGCATTGTTGAAATTTTCGAAATTTTTTTCTTGATCCCTATGCGTCGATTTTTTTGAATCTGAACCAATGTGCGTCGTTGCTCTCAGAAATGTAAAACTGTCATATCCAAACTTTGTAAATTAAAATCAACAAAAATTGTAAATATGAATTTTTCAAACGAAGAAAAGGGTGTAGGATTATTGATTCAACCGGTGAACGTTACTAACGTTTTTTTTTAATTTAGATACTCGCTCATCAATAGAGTGGTTCCAAAATGACTTTCATTATGACACACCGTAATGAAAGAGATGTTAAAAATTATTTATATATTTATAATTATGCAAACTCAGGGATAGGAAGAGGTGGACCAATTGCATGGTCGACCGGCCGTTGTGTGAAAAAAAAATTGTAATTCAGTTTTAAAAAGATGCATTTATGTACTCAAAACAATGGCGGATTTTTTTTGGCGGAGCATTTTCTAAAATAACTTAAAGTGTATGCAGTGATATTATTTTTTAAGTTTTAGTTTGTGAAATGTAAATTGTAAAGAACCGTTTAATAATATATTCTATTTTTAAGTTATATATTATAACAGAATAAGAATACTAACTAAGTGAAATTAATAAAAAAAAAAATTATAGCTTATTATATAGCTTATGCTTATAGCTTATATATTGAACATCTTAAAAAATGGCGTTTTTATGAAGTCATGGCCAACTATGGTTTCCATTTAAAAAAAACATATGTATGTTTGTGTCATATGTCAAAAATGACAGGCTTTAAAAAAAATCAGAGAACACAAACTCATTAGGGATGTCTTTTTGTCTAAAATAGATTATAGTGAAATTAGGGACAATTTTTAAAATAGCCAAAATTTGTTTCTTTCGAAATATCTAGTAAACCATGTACTTTTTCAAAAATCTGAAAGGCGCATATTTATGACCTCACAAAACTGCAATTCTTTCCCCATTTAACCGACCTTCTATCTCCAGTACTTTCCCAGATACCCATAGTGAACATCTTATAAAACTCACCCTGTATAATGTCAATCATCTAAACGAGAAAAACATAAAAATAAATAAAATAATAATAAATAATTAATTTTATGTTTCAATAATAAAAATAACACTACAGAGTGTCTAATTTCATGTTAAATAATAACAGACTTTAAACGGCAATAACTTCTTTAATTTAAATGGGAACATCCTGTATATTTTATGAGAATCAGATGAAGATTTTAGTTGTCTATAAAATTGTATTACACCATTTTTTACCTATCTCTTCAAATTTTTGTGGAAAATGCATTTTCTTCAACCAGGCTTTAGAGTCCATATTAAAATGAATTTGTTTGTAATGTTTTTAACAGTGTCTTTAATTTTTTTTTCGTTTAACTCTAATTACTCTTTACAAATAACGTTTTTTTTTTAATTACAGATCTATCGGCGAAATGGACTCTACCGGATCCGTAAGCGCAGTGGAATCTGCTCTAGATCGTCTGTCCAAACAACGAAACGATCTGGAAGAACTGTGGGCAGCTAGAAAGCTACGTTTAGACTTATGTTTGCGGCTGAGAATTTTCGAAAGGGACGCTTTGGAGGTATCTTCACAGTTAGAGATGTGGAGCGAAGAACTACAACACAGCGAACTCACAAGAGACATAGCTAAAGCTGAGCAATTTTTAAGGTAGATTATAATATTCTATATGAAATACTAATAATTTTATTAATTTCCTATAATACACACATCGGTACTATTAGAGGAATGACAATATTTACTCTAAGTGCATGCGAGAGGATGCCTGTAAGCCTACACTATCCACTATCCACAGATAGATATTAAATAAGTAAAAAATGTATAAGAAAAGGACATTGATTTAAAATATCACACATTTTCCATCCAAAACACCGGCCGGCGTCAAGTCAACACTTTAAACATAAGCATATTGATAACAACTAGACCTACGTTGAAGTAAGGAATATTTCAGTATCGAGTTTCGAGTCCTCGGTTCGTGCATTTCCAGGGCTTACGATTACTGCCGGCGCAAAAGTAACAAATCAGCTTCGTAACGAGTAACGAGTCCTAAATTCAAATGGTAAGCGTTACTTCGAGTCCTCGTAAAGTAACTGTTACTTTTGTAACGATTACTTAGAATTTTTACATCACTACTATCCACAGATTAAATAAGTAAAAAATGTATAAGAAAAGGACCGAGATTGACTTAAATACTCATGGAATTTAGTTTCTTTGTCGTGAGTGGCATATACAGGGCCGAAAAATCTCTATGGTAGATTTTTGGTTTATGAATTTCATTTCATTTTTTTATATAATATGGAGGTAATGGTAATGCACATTTTGAAAATATTTTTGTCAACATACAGGGCGAATCAAACATATTTTCAGACCAAAGTTGTATATTTTTAAATGGAATACTGTATATACACACAACCAAACTTATATGGAATCACTCTTTATTTTTGACCAAATTTCTTGCAATGATAAAAATTGGTATACAACTTTAAGATAAGGCTTTTTGTTGTAAATAAACATGATAATAAAGAATAACGACTGCTGGCGATTTATTTTATTTTGAATTTTGTGTTCAGTAGTAAAATCACGATTGTCCGGTAATTTTCACTCAATCCAAAAAAAAATAAAAAATGCCTTATGTTGGATTAACAGATGTACAGAGGGGAAGAATTATTGCCCTCACCGAACAAGGAATGTTCCAGAGAGACGTTTCCCAAAAAAAATTTTTTTTTAAATTCTAAATTCGAAGCGTTTTAACATTTTTTAACAGGAAGTACTGTATAATAGTGTCTTCTTCAAAATTCGGTCTACCAGCGAGTCAAAACTAAATGTTGTATTTTTCTCCACTATTTTAAATGGAACACCCTCTATTTTGTATCATAATCGAACAAGGTTTTGTTTAATCCCTTTGTTTTATTGAGCACTTCCTATACTTAAAGTCGATATTTAATGAGAAAATTGTTTTTTTTTGAAGATCTGACTTTCGCTCCAGAGAAGTAGTAGGCCTTTATCATTAATAGCGTCATACCTATCTACTAAACTGTGGGCTATCTGTCACATAATATTAAATATTACGACTATTTACCAATCCATTACTTTTAAAGGTATCTTCATCGGAAAATAAGATTTTAGTTAAATGCCCCAGTCTTCATGAACCGTATTAAGCCTATATGCATTGCGAAATTTATTCTATTGATAAAGTCATTTAGATCTTAATGTAGTTCCAATTGATAAAGATGATATTTATGTGTTTTATATATCTATTAACACTACTCTGCAAAACGTCCGTTGTTGCTGAAAATATGTTCAGCTGCTCCATACTATAAATCATATTTATTAATTTTTCACTATAAAAATTTATTATTGAGTTAATTAAAAGGTTTTTCTACTTTGATGCAGATAGGTATTACAGTTTTAATAATTAACTCCATTTATTGAAAGATCGAAAGTCAATCAAAATAAAAAAAAACAATTTTCTCATTAAATATCGATTTTAGGTATAGGAAGTCCTTAATAAAACTAAAAGATTAAACAAAACCTTGTTCGATTATGATACAAAATACAGGTGCTTGAAAATAGTGTAGAAAAATAAAACCTTTAGTTTTGACTCGCCCTGTATATATAAAACAAGATTGCAAACTACCGTAGACCGAATTTTAAAGAAGATGCTATTATAAAGTACAAAAAAAATCTAAAATTCTTTGAATTTAGAATTTTACGAGTTTATTACGTATATTATTACGAATAAAAACGGTTATATTTCAGAATTCGCTCGGTATGACATTATGGTATTTTTGGAATGGAAATTTAATAATAGATCCACTGAGTTAAATAAATATATAGTATTCTATTTAAAAATATACAACTTTAGTTTGAAAATATGTTTGAATCACCCTGTATGCTGACAAAAATATTTTCAAAATGTGCGTTACCATTGCCCCCATATTATGTAAAAAAATTGTTATGAAATTCACAAACCAAAAACCTAATATATAGCTTTTTCGGAACCCTGAATATTATTTGAATAAAAATGGCATAAGTATTAGAAAATTTGAAAATCACAAAATGATCAATACACGTCGAGACGTATTATAACTTTATCATAAAAAAACAGAGCAAGAACATAAATATGTATTAATGCCAGTTAAATAATACAGTTTACTCTTAAACCAGTCCGGGAAACATTTTCTAACGAACGTATTAATTTGATAATTTCTTATATTTTCTCTTCTTGTTGTTTTGTTGATGATGAGAAATGCCCCTTAAAACGACATAAGGTTTATTAAAGCAATTAGTTAGATTGAGTTAACTGGGAAATTGCAGCTTTTAATGATATTAGTTACTTGTTTGTTGATGTCATTTCAAAAAGTGATTGTAAGGATTAATAGAATTAATCTGGATAATTTTGTACTGGGCGTTTATGTTTCCAGATTCTCTATAAATTGTTTGCATTAAAATGTTTGGAAATATGTAACCGTAGTACTAATATAATAGGGTACCATTTTTACAACACTTTACATAATCTGACAAGTGCCATTATGTTTTATCCTGTATTTTTCACATATAAATACGTTTCTATTGATACCTACTTATGCAATTTCTAAATGTTATTATTTCTTATAGGTTACATAACGAGAGCGTCTCCCAAATGCAAAACACTACGTACCAAGTTCTCCAGCAAGGTCAGGAGCTAGTCCAAGTATTCGAAAATTCGGGCATATGCGTGATGGCAGATGCCCAATACAACGCCCAGACCCGGGTCCAAGTCCTCTTAGAGTTCCTACATGACAGAGAAATGGACCTGGAAGATCTAGCCGAAGTCAAACGAGTGAAATTGGAACAGTGCATCCAACTAGGACAATTCCAGAACGATGCTAACCAAGTTATTAGCTGGATACGAAACGGTGAATCAATGCTAATGGCCAGTTTTACTATTCCGAATAGTCTAGCTGATGCGGAGTTGCTTAAGAAAGAGCATGAACAGTTCCAAGTGGCCATAGAGAAGACACACACGTCGGCGGTTCAAGTGAGGTACAGGGCCGATGCGTTGATTAATGGAAACCATTACGATCCTCAGAGTATTCGAGATATATCGGAGGAAGTGACCAAAAGGTGGCAGCAGTTGGTGACTTGCGCAGAAGAACGTCACAAGCTCGTTACTGCAAGTTTAAACTTCTATAAAACGGCGGAGCAAGTTTGTTCAGTGTTGGATAGTTTAGAAAGAGAATACAGGTAAGGAAATTTTGACTGTAATTTTGTTTAAAGTATATGTTTTCTGTGCAGCATTGCAGCCTTTAAAACTTATTGTGTGTCTAATCTTTAGTATCATAGTCATACCATATCGACAAAGTATTACAAAATACCTAATAAAAATGTCTATACCTATCATCTCTCCAAAAAAATCCTTTATGGGTATTTCGCCACTACACTGCAAGAAAAAAAATATACAGGGTTGTTCACCACATACGACACGGAGTATTGTAGCTAAACGATGAGATTTTTACAAATTGTAAGTTTTGGGTTCGATGAAGGACTATTAGAGGTACAATTTAAAAATAATTTTACAAGATACAGAGTGTCCCAAATAAGTAAAAAATATATCAAAGTTGTATTTTTTTAAATGGACACCCTGTATATTATTACATTTTTAGTTTCTACGATTAAAATAAAAGTAAATTTGATTAAGGTTTATTATACTTAAACCTTACCGTTTTTGAAATATTTTCAATTTTGTGAAATTGCAGTAAAAATTTTAAGGCTTCATTTCTCCAAGGGTATCAAAGTTTTTAATACTAAATATTTACTGAAGTTTATTTACTGATCAGTTATTGTGTTGCAATAATAAAAATAATACTACCTTATACAGAGTGTCTAAAATTTATTTTATATAATTATTAGCTTCAAACGGCAATAACTTGTTTAATTTAAATGGAACACCCTGTATATTTTACGAGAATCAGATGCACAATTTAATTGTCTATCAAATTACATTATACCATTTTTTACCTATCTCTTTAAGTTTCCGTAGAAAATGCATTTTCTTGTAATTTAGAACTTATTTATCAATATACCCATGGACTATTGACATTTTAGATTATTTTTAAAGATGTCCCAAATTTTTAAAGAGTACAGATACTAATATTGTCGATATAATTCGTTTATTTCATTAAAAAATAAAAAAAAACTGTTTAAATATTTGTTAAAGAGGATCAATTAATATGATTCCAGTATTCAAACTACATTAACTGACTGTTTGCGTTGATTAATAATAATTGCTCCAAATACTAAAAAACTGAATTTTGTATGGGCATTAGACAGTGTGATAAAAAGTAACACCTTAAAAATGATATTTCATTTTTTAATAAATGCTTATTTATAACAACAGAGACTTTAATTTGATAACTTATTATTATATTGATTTCAATATTGTATTTTCAATTATATTGACTCAAATCCACATTTATTTATAATAATTTATTAACGAACACAATTAAGTATGTAATTAATTAGTATATGGGCGGAAATAATGGTGTTATATTTAATTAATGGTATACTCTTTTATAAAGATTTAAATAGTTTTCTTTTTGCATACAAATGGGCTAGTAATATTATCGTTTTGCTAAAATTACAAAAAATAACTATTTTATTTTGTAGATTTTCTTGCAGTGCAGTGGCGAAATACCCATAAAGGATTTTTTTTACTACCTTTTGATACCTACTCTAAACGTGGTTTGCAAATGTTTTTTCTGTTGCAAGTTAGTGTCTTGTAATTTCAGAAAAATAAATGTCCCTGATAATGATACCAAAGAGGTTGTCTTTTATCTTTCTTTTTCTCCTATCTCACTATTTTTTAAAGAGCTGTCTAGGTCCTAAAACAGCTGTACATTAAAAATGCAGTGTAACTACTCAAACTCTTTCAGGGGTATAGCTGTAATAAATGTCTCTTAAGATTCTTATCTTCTTTTAAATTAAATTGACAGATGGCAACTATCACTGCCATACATTCTTTTGTTGGATAAACTATTAAGTACGATATCATCTAGCAATAATATCCTTTTCTCTTGGGTCAGTCATGGTTGCTCCAGTGCAAGAGAGGTAGAAGATAACTAGGAGATGGCGCTGGGGGCTTTCTCTTAGCTGACTTATGCTTTACATGATTTTTTTTTATCATCTACTAGTTAAATTACTAATTTTATTTGACACTGGTAATCTTCAGGCAGTAGCGGTGCTAATGATTTACGTCCATTGGTGGCAATTCAAAATTATTTGTACATTTTTTTATATTAGGGCTCTCGAATCTAATTTTTAATGCTCAGTTTTTTTGTGACTTATCTTTACGATTATCGGTTTATTTTGTTGTTTTATTTTATTTAAAATGTCTTACAAATTATTATTGATGTTAAATTAGCACAGAGATTATAAGATATAAATTACTTTGTCATTCTTTGATTTATATCACACTATTTTTTTTATTTCTCTATGATATTTTTTATTCCATTTTTAGAAGAGACGAAGATTGGTGTTCTACCGGCCAACCTAATGTAGATAAAACCACAGCTATTTCGCAACTCATCAACAAACACCAAGAACAGAAAGAGGCATTCTTGAAGGCTTGCACGTTGGCTAGAAGAACAGCAGAAACATTCTTGAAGTACACCACCAGGAGCCTTCAATTTTACAATTTTCCTAACACTGGCACCAACCACGAGACCAGAGTCAAGGGTATTTTGGAGAAACTACTCAGTCAAGAAAATAAAGTAACATACAAGACATGTTGTGTCGTTTGAATATTGTTATTTTTATTATAATTGTTTAGGTGTTAGAACACTGGACTCAACGAAAGAAACGCTTAGATCAGTGCCAACAGTTTGTTTTGTTTGAAAGATCGGCGAAACAGGCTATAGAATGGATTCATGACACTGGAGAGTGCTATTTAACCACCCATGCCACGAATTTAGGTAATTATTTCCAATCAATCATCAGTATACTCAATTATTCAATGAAAACGATGTAGGTAACAGTAGGCGTTGTACCGGGTGTCCCACTAAGAATAGCTCTCGGCTGTATCTCGGAAGTATTTATAACTAAAGGGGCTATGTGAAATTGCTGGAAATTATTTTCAAGTTTGTAAAACGGCCGCTAGGTGGCGCAACTGCTATGGAAAATAAGAAAATAGATTTTTTACAGAATTTTGCCTAGATAATGGGTACTATAAATAATAGCTTCATAATCTTCGGTAAATTTTGGATTTTTTTTGTTGGAACCATTTTTCCCTATCTGCTAAAATAAAGTGGTGGGGGAAGGTTAGATCTATCTTTATTTAAATGCTAATAACTCCAGACTGGATGATCAGAATCCAACAAACGAGGGCTCGTTTAAAAGAGCGTTTCTTACTCTATATTATACCATATTAACAATAATAAAGCTTTTGAACCTAGACGCTAGGGGGCGTTGTCTTACAATTAAACAAACGTTGCGCGTTTTTTCAAAAAAATTAAATGCAATTGTATATGTAATTTTAGCCGATAGTAAAGAGTAGTAAAAGTTTAAAAAATCAGCGAAAACCGCATCTTGATATCTTCTTTCAAACTGAAGATATTAGCAAAATTATAATAAATACCAAAAAATAAGCCCTTAATTACCTTATTTTTACAACACGGTATCAGTAGCCCTCTTGATTATGCCCATTCTAACAAAAAAAAGATAGAAACAGTTAGTTTATTTTAAAATCGACGAAATACCAGAATACCATAATACCAGATGTATTATATCTAATAATACAGGCCGACATGATTTTTGTAACACGAGTCAGTTGCAGAATTTCTTCATAAAAATATGCTTCTAATAACAGAAAAAATACTCCTGAAGCTCCTACACGTACCACTTTTCAGTTGCCTAATTACGCCTCTTTTTTGCAGGTAGTCAATTTTATAGATGTCAGGTATTAAGTCTAGGTAGATTCGTTTACATACAGGTAAATTTTATGATGGGATGATTGAAAGGGACGCATTTTGTGCACTATAATATATTGTGAAAAACATAAGAGAGTTCAGTTTTCAGTTGATTTTCGACGTGAGTTGTTCTATGCGTGTAGATAAATAGTACGAAAATGTCAAGTCAAACGCGCCGCAGTTGTAAAGTGTCTCCTGATCGATTTTGTTACATTTGTGGAGAATTTATGGTGCAATCACAAGCCAGACCATTTTCTGAAAATGTGAAGAAAGCCTACTTCAAGTATTTTGGAGTTTTGGTTGGAGATCAAGACAAGCAGTGGGCTCCTCATGTGTGCTGCGTTACTTGTAGCGTGTCGCTTGTGCAGTGGATGAAAGGGAAGAGGAAAAAATTGCCATTTGCGGTTCCAATGGTATGGCGAGAACCAACTAACCATTTTGACGATTGCTATTTTGCCTGACGAAAACTGAAGGTTTTTCCAAAAACAAAAGCACAAGATCGAGTATCCCAATTTGCCGTCTGCCATACGACCTGTTCTTCATGGTGCAGATCTCCCAGTGCCGATCGCGCCCTTAGACTGGCAAGGTATTGTTTTGGAAGATAAGGAAGATATTGAATCAAACAGCTCTGGAGACCAGTGTACTGATCCTACCTTTACCCCAGAGGGCGGTTCCGACAAGCCACATTTGATTGTTCAAAGCGAGTTGAATGACTTAGTGCGTGACTTGGGGTTATCAAAGCAGCAGTCAGAACTTCTTGGATCCCGGCTTAAGGAATGGAATCTGTTAGCCAATGAAACAAAAATCACCACTTTTAGAAAAGAAATGCTCCGTTCTCTGCATTCTACAGTATGGAGGATTCGTTGTGTGCATGTACTGATATCGATGGCTTAATGCAGGAACTTTCTATAGAACATTCTCCTGTGAGTGGCGCTTATTCATAGATTCGTCGAAATATAGCTAAAAAGCTGTGTTATTGCATAACGGAAATTTAAAACCCTCTATACCAGTTGCCCATTCAGTGACAATGAAGGAAACTTATGAAAATATGCGCATGCTTTTAGATAGAATCAACTACAACAGGTATAAATGGCAGATATGTGGGGACTTGAAAGTTATAGGAATTTTAGTGGGACTTCAGGGAGGATTTACAAAATATTGCTGTTTTCTTTGTTTGTGGGACAGTCGTGCAGTAAATCATCATTATGTACAGAAAATTTGGCCAGAAAGAAGTGAATTTCAACCGGGTTCCCAAAATGTCAAGTATATCCCTCTTGTAGACCCCAAAGACGTCCTCCTGCCTCCTCTTCATATCAAACTTGGCCTCATGAAAAACTTCGTGAAAGCTATGAATGAAAAAGAAGGTGATGGATTTAAATACCTAAGGCAAGTCTTTCCCCAGTTGAGTGATGCCAAATTGAAAGAGGGTATTTTTATTGGACCACAAATCAGGAAATTGTTGGACGACACAAATTTCACAGACACGCTTACCAGGCAGGAACTCAGAGCATGGACCTCATTTGTTAGTGTAGTGAGGGGATTTTTGGGAAACAATAAGGATGCGAACTACGAATTGGTTAATGAGCTTTTAGATGCTTATAAATCGCTTGGTGCCCGAATGTCTTTAAAAATTCACTTTCTCCATTCTCATTTGTCATTTTTCCCTGAAAATATGGGTGCTGTCAGTGATGAGCAAGGTGAGAGATTCCATCAAGACATAAGGACAATGGAAATTCGTTATCAAGGACGATGGGATCCAGCCATGATGGGTGATTACTGTTGGTTTTTGAAGAAGAGAAGACGCGGTCCCTCATAAAAGGAAAAAGTAAAAGTTTTTGTTTATGTTTTGATCTCGTTTCGATTGTTTTTGTACTTTTAGGTATAAGTAATGTTTGAGGAGTGTAAACTATAAAATATAATCGGTATATAGGCTTAAGAAGTTCTTAAATCATGTTTTGAATAGCTATCTTAATATATTGAATATTGTAATATTGAATGATGTTTTATTAATGTAACAAAAAAACCTTACGTGTTACGACTTTTTTTTTGCCACTTTCGTGATTAGATAGGTTCATTCTACCACAATATCCTATTGAGCTTTGTGTTACATCGAAAAAATTTTTTTTTGTCGGCCTGTGATAATTAAGATATCAATAATAGTGAACAAGAAACGATGATTCAGTGAAGTCATGGTAGGCTTTGGAAAAAAGTTGCTTTTCGCGTAATAGTATAAACACCAAATTGTTATTAGATCAACATTTTGATAGTCTTAGCAGCGTTTTTTATCTTTTAAGCGCTTTTTCAAAATGCCTTTATTATTTGAAGTAGTTGAAGTTGTTGGCATTTTGAAAAAGCAATCAAAAGATAAAAACGCTGCTGAGACTATCAAAATGTTGATCTAATAAGAATTTGACGCTTATACTATTACGTCAAAAGAAACTTTTTTCCAAAGCCTACCATGACTTCACTGAATCATCGTTTCTTGTTCGCTATTATTAATATCTTAACTATTAGATATTAATATATCTGGTATTATGATATTCTGGTATATCGTCGATTTTAAAATAAACTAACTGTTTCTATCTTATTTTTAGGTTAGAATAGGCATAATCAAGAGGGCTACTGGTACCGTGTTGTAAAAATAAGGTAATTAAGGTACCCCACCACTTTATTTTGGTAGATAGGGGAAAATGGCTTAAACAAAAAATATTCAAAATTTACTGAAGATTATGAAGCTGTTACTTATAGTACACCTTATCTAGGCAAAATTGTGTAAAAACTCCATTTTCTTATTTTTTGTTGTAGTTGCGCCCCCTAGCGGTCGTTCTACAAACTTGAAAATAATTTCCAGCAATTTCCCATGGCCACTTTAGTTATAAATATTTTTTTCCGCAGCCGCTACGGCTAATACTTTCCGAGATACAGCCGAGAGCTATTCTTAATGGGACACCCTGTATATATTTATGTTTATTGCAAATACATTTCACTTTAAGCTTAACTATGTTTAAAATCTGTTTTTATATCTTGCGTAGTTTTTAAATTTTAAACCATATCATATCTGCTTATACTGCATACTTTAGAATGCATGTTTTGTGCACACATACTTATGTATGCACTTTCCAGTCACGTGTGCTGACATTATTCTTAGAAATGCCATGATAATCTTGGCAAGACGATCCAAACGCAGAACTGGAGAACTCTTAAAAACCGACAGAAATTGTGCGCATGTGCTTACTGCAGTATAGATGGGCCAATGCAAGCTGAGATCATATCTGCAGATGATGGGACCGGTGGAAGACACCGAATACCGAGTCTGTACGAAGAGTGACGAAACTATGAAGTACGTTATGAGTAGCTGCCACGCTGGTAACAGGACCAAATTTGAGTTGTTTGGCCCTTGGAGACATATCATTAGACCTTGGTGACATATATCACTATCGGATATAACCACCTATATAAAAACGTTGGGTCTTGAGGATGAAATTTAAAGTTTATAGAACTGAGCTACAATAAGTTCCTGCGGCCGCAGTGGAGGAGAGTCTTAATAAAATACCATATATATTTAGAACCACACTAAACAGACACATGGTTTCCTTCCATGGTTTCTTTTTTGAATACAGTACACACACTGCCATTAGTTGCTGATTAGTATTTGACACGCATCAGAAGATGGTCATGCAAGGCGTTTTCTTTCATTAGCTTTTCTGTAACTGAAAAGCCCGATACGTGATGTTATCTTGTCTACGGCACTCCGGACATTCAAAAATCTCATTGCCTCTTTACTTTTTGGTTGTCGCTGTGAACTGAGTTTACAATTCTTCTCCAGTCCGTTCTATTGTGAGCTTCATCCCAATCATTCTGCATATTAATCCCTTTTAAGTTTTTGTGGAAAATGTCCTTGTACCTTTTTAGTTGTCCACCCGGCCTCCTCTTACCGTCTACAAGCTCACCGTAAAGCAGAGATTTTGGTATGCGGTTTTCTTGCATTCTGCATACGTGACCAGCCCATCTTAAGTGGGATTTTGTAATCATGACTTCAACACTCTCGCAGTTAGCTTTTTCAAGGACCGATACGTTTGAGGCATGATGGAAACATTGTTTCTTAAGAGTTGTCTAAAATGTCTCTGTTGCAACTTGTTTAATGCGTTCATGTGTCGGCGGTACCGGACCCAGGTTTTGCTTCTATATAACATGGTGGGAATTATTATTGCTCAGTACACTGCAAGTTTCGCTTTTGTGCTCAAGTCATGATTGTAGAAAACCCTGTCTTTTAAATTCCAGAATGATCTTGAGGCGCTGTTAATCCTGTTCTGAATTTCAGAGTCGATATTGGCCGTTTCCGAAATCAAAGCCGAGGTAATTGAATTCCACTACATATTCCAATAGTTCTTCTCCAATTTTTATAGCATTGTTGTGATCTTCCGGGGGAGTGCACATGATTTTAGTTTTATCGATGTTCAGCTTAAGTCTCAAAGCCTCGTATTCCTGGTATATGTGTTCTGAATAGAGCAACGTCTTAGCAGCAAGCAGTGTCCAGTCTATGAAGGAACTCAGCAATCCCATATGCGTCGAGAAACTGCGTAATAATAATTTTTCGACTCCCAGCATGCGCGTTCAAGTGTATACTCAGCTGCATAGTGTGACTAGGTTCTAGTAATGTAATGAATAATAATAAAATTTAACACAATTTTAAATTTCACGCCTATTGACTTATTTTTAAATTTCACGCCCTTTATTGAGGTCGGTCATTCACATTACAATATACTTTATGACATTTTTTATGTATTTTAGGTAATAATATTGAAGAAACGGAAAGCCTTCTTAGAGAGCACAACGAATTCAAAGGCACTGCCAAAGAAACCCGAGAAAGGGTCAAGTTGCTGATTCAGCTTGCGGATAGTTTAGTCGAAAAAGGTCACGCTCACGCCAGCGCCATCAAACAGTGGGTAGCCGCGGTAGATAATCGGTACAAAGATTTCAGTTCTCGTATGGAACAGTATCGCCAACAGTTAGAAGAAACTTTGGGTAAGTATCAGATGCTTTTAGATCCAAATATCATTCTTTGTAAAAAATAGAAATTAAAATATATTTGTATAAGTGGACTCCAAATTTGCAACAGCAAAAGTTACTCTAGAATATCCTAATATTTAGTTGTATATGATTGAATATATATGTAATATGATTCAATTGAATATTTTATATAAATGTTTCTTGTTAAAGGCATTCAAGAGGAGGAATCAGAAAAGAAAGAACTCTCGATTGACAGAAATTCTGACCCAAGTCTTGAAGCAAAAGTCAAGGAAGCCGCTGCGAAAGATTTGAAGGAGTTGAACGAAGAGAAGCGGCGATCTGCCAGGAGAAAGGAGTTTATTATGGCTGAACTTCTCCAGACTGAGCGAACGTATGTCAAAGATCTGGAAACTTGCATCAGGTGCTTCTTGAGTGAGACCAGAAGTAATAATAGCGTTCCTACGGCTTTACAGGTAAAATAATAAAGTTATTGAGCTAAATATCTAAAAAGTTATAGCCACACGCATTTTAATGTTTTTTGTGTCAAGATTGCCAAATCTAAGAAAACTTCGCAACGACTTTTTAAAAGATTAGAAAAAATTGTATAAAAACATGGTAAAGATTAAAAAGAAAACCGCAGCGTAAGGTTGCTCTTCATCTGGTGAACAATAGATGTAGGTTCATTTAATTATTTTTGGGCACCACTAATTTAAGCCAAGTTAATGTGATTTTAAAAAATTAAGAAAATTATCACAGGCTAGAGATGTTCTGTCATGATATATCTCACATTAAAACACCAAAATTTAATAAAAACTATATATATTTATTAATAATTAAATATGTTGAATCCCCAGTTTAAAAATGAATAAGAAAAAGAAATGTGATTTAACAAATTATACAATAAATTGGTTTTATTTTACTATTTAAACTTAAATTACATATTATCAACTATAAATTACCAAACGTAATCATTGTGTTTCATTAAAAGGTTTCAGTAAAAAGGTAAAAAGTTAAGAAGAAAGAGCAAAAAATATTCTAAAACAATTCATAAATGAGTACTTAGCGTTTGCTCTGAAGCTGTACATGGGCGCCGGACAGGGGGGGCAAGAGGGGGCATTTGCCCCCCCCCCCTGGATCACTGAAACAATAAAAATAAAAGCTATCTTCTTACATCCATCTGTAAAAAAAATAATAATTATTATGAAATTGTTAGGTGTTACCTGTAAAATAATAAAAAATGTGGTAATTATTGGGAAAACTGGAAATTGTCCGATTTTCACCAAAATTGGTATACACACTATTTTGAGGTCGTAGATTAGAATCTATTTTTTTCTTGGCGGTCTCTTACCGTTTTTCAGAAAAACGGAAAATTATTTCAACATTGAATTTTTCTTTATTTCGGCCCTATAAAGTAATAATTTCACTATATTTTCATTATAATATAGTTTATCTAAAAGCCACACTTGATTGGGGATAGAAAAGTGTCAACATTTTACTGAAAAACACTTCTCTTAACAAAATTGCAAAGAAAATTGAGACCAGATGGAAGTTTGACATTTGATATATCCTTCTTCTCTCTCCTATGTAATAAGAGAGACAAATATATTCTAGACCTAACCTAGAAATTTGAAAATTTACAACGTTGCCATATCTTCTATTTTTTCGGGTGATTAGGGATTTTAAATAAATTACCTATTATGAGATCGACAATAATTAAATATACACCTATATCCACAAAATTACGCGGAAGAGTTTTGATTGCATTGGTTTTAACTTCTTTGCGGAGGGGGTTAATCTTTTTTTAATCTAATAATATAACAACAAAAGATTAACACCCTCTGCATGGAAGTTGTAACCAATGCAATCAAAACTGTTTCACAACTTCGTGGGTATAAATAGTCAGATCTCGTTGGTAAAATAGCAGTTATGGGAAGGAGCCGTTCTTCTGGCGACCGCCTTTCGTAATTCCAGAATGAGCGAAAAAAACACGCTAAATTTAGGTTTAGCATTGGCAACGTTGCTTTAAATGCCAGAAATACATAAACTTACTTTGGGTTTCTCTTATTACCGATTCTGAACCGTCCTAGAACTGTGATGCGTATGCGCAGAAGGAAATATGAAGACATTATTTCATTTGCGCATGCGCTGCAGAGTTCTTGGACGGTTCAGATAACGGTAATAACAAGAACCCGAACAAAGCTATAACCTAACATTTTCAGATTGTTTACAAATTTATTTTAGCAAATTTTCCTCTATTATGCATAGAATTGGTTAAAAAAGTAACAGAAAATAGCAAAAACATTATTGATTATTGAATACCTAACAAAATATGTGCTAGAAAACCTTAAAAATATGAGAAATTAAGAAAAATTCGATATTGAAATTATTTTCCGTTTTTCTGAAAAACGGTAAGAGACCGCCAAGAAAAAAGAGATTCGTAATAGAATAAAGAATTCGTTCAGATTCGTAATCTACGACTTCAAAATAGGGTGTATACCAATTTTGGTGAAAATCGGACGATTTCCAGTTTTCCCAATAATTACCAAAAATGTCAATTTTTTATTCATTTTTACCTTGCCCCCCCCAATTTCATTCTTCCGGCGCCCATGAAGCTGTAGTCAATTAGGGTTGATTTCCCTATCGTACTTGGGTCCATATCCATGATGTAACTGCTCCAAACCGTCAGAAAACTTAGGAATGCTCTATTTGGTACCTTCACGAAGCCATTCAAGAAAAACAAACAAAAAAGTACACAAAAACTTCTGCTTCTGTTCTTCAAAAAAACTTCTCAAAAAACGTCTCCCAAAATACCGCTGCTTACAAAAACTACTGCTGTTCTCAAAATCTTCTCATTCCCAAAATCTTAGCTGTTCCTAAAATGTCAATTCTTCCTTCTTAAGATGGTGAGCGGGTTACAATCTATAATAAATGATTTTTTCTCTAATTATGAGAAAGAAGGTAAAAGAAGAAAATCTATAAATTACACGCAGGGCTATTTTCTGCCACATACGATGTAAAACTCTTTCTAGATATATGCTGACTAGTCTTCTTGGTAATTGGTATTAAAAAATGGCACACATGTAAAAGCCTCAAAAACCTTCTAGTATAAACTATCACCACACAAGAGAATACTTCGGAAAATAAACCATCCTGGAACTTCTCATCGTGGTTGAAATAGAAGTGTCGAAAAATGCGAGTAAATCTTTACGGCCGTATTCATAGTCGAGCGCCAGCCGCCCGCCGAAAAGAAGCGCTCGCCGAAGATTTCTCCGGCGGGCGCTTCGATATCGGGAGAGAAAAAAAGCTCTTTCATAGTCGGCCGCCAGCGCACCGCTGGCTGGCGAAAATGACGGCACGTCGCCAACAAAATTTCACTTCGGGTGGAGGGTTTTAACAACAGGGAACATGTTTTCTTCCTTTTTCTACACAAAATCGGTTATACGAACTTTAATATTCTCTAAATATTTAAATATTAATAATTTAAATATTTTATTGATATTGGGTAATTTAAATATTTTATTGATGTGTCCATTATTTTGTGATAATTCGTTTTAAAGTAATGAATAATATCTTCGTAATCCTTCACTTATAGCACAGAATATCTAGCTACGTAACAGAAGCCTCGTTACATGTATAAAATTGTAGGTAGCAAAAGGAGACAGGCTTTAAAAGTCTGTCTCCAAATCAGATATTTTGATGTCGTAGTTTCGCTACTACATAATAGAGGGCAATAAATTTAAAAGAAAACAGTTTTCTACAAACAAAATTTAAAAGAATTTTGTGCAGTGTTGCCATTGTGTAATTCATATCGAATACTTCCTGATAAAGCCTACCTTCAAATTTGCTACATCATTTAAACATATTAAAATAGATCAGAGCTGTTTTTTTCAGTTTGCCATGTTAGTTGGAATTAAATCTTATGAGCTAAATTACAACCACTTCCTGACGTTTGATTGTATAATTGAATCCTGAATTTTCATTGTAATTCGGCGACAATATAATAAGTATTGTTCTACTATTAAGATACCACTTCCTGACGTTCGATTGTGTTCATACCAAGTTCATATTGTATAATCGGGAAAAAACGGCGTTAACGATAGCTATGAAATGAATATCACTGTCATTTTATATGTAAATTTATATGGGAAATGTCATCGACCGTCCTTTTCCAGCCAACTGGACGCCGTTTTTTTCAGAAGCATATCAAGTGATACCATAATATAGTACTATATTACGATACATGGCGTTCGATTGGGCTTAAACTTGGTATACTATATCTTCAGTGACATTGTAATATCATGGTACCATGGAGCATATAAAGTGGTACCTTCTATAGTACCATATTTGATGACATAGCAATATTAGGTACATGTCGACAATAGGGCTTAAACTTGGTATACTACGTATTTTCGGTGACATTGTAATATGATGGTACTATGATGCATATCATCTGGTACCATAATATAGTACCATATTATGTACATGGCGTTCGATTGGGCTTAAATTTGGGATACTACGTATCTTCGGTGATATTGTAATATTATGGTACCATGGAGCATAATAAGAGGTACCATAATATAGTACCATATTACGATACCATTTCCTGGCGTTCTATTGGACTTAAACTTGTTATACGTAGTCTTCGGTTACATTGTAATATGATGGTACTATGATGCATATAAAGTGGTACTTAAATATAGTACCATATTTCAATACCATTTCCTGGCGTTCGATTGAGCTCATATTTGATATATACTTGCGTATTTTTGATGACATTGCATTATTATGGTACCATGAAGCATATCAACTGGTACCATAATATAGTGCTATATTACGTACATGGCGTTCGATTGGGCTTAAACTTGGTATACTACGTATCTTCGGTTACATTGTAATATGATTGAACTATGATGTATATAAAGTGGTACCTTAATATAGTACCATATTACGATACCATTTCATGGCGTTCGATTGTTCTTAAATTTGGTATATTACGGATCTTCTGTGACATTGCAATATTATGGTACCTTAAAGCATATCAAGTGGTACCATAATATAGTACACTATTATGATATAATTTCCTGGAGTTCGATTGGGCCCAAATTTGGTATACTTGCGTTTCTTTATAAAGATTTCTTTAATTAATAATTTTAATTTATTTTACGAATTTTAATTTATTGTTCGATGTCGTGACAGCAACTTTTATGCCGAACTAATATATTATTAATTGTACCTGTGTCACTTTTTAAAATCTACCTAGATCTATATAAATAACGTGGCAAACGGAAGAAATTTGTTATTATAGTATTTTTTAGTCAGTTAACATTTTTTGTACTGCATTTTAATAAATTATTTCCATTATTATTAAACTTATATTTCATTACTAACGTTCCAGCATTAATAAATATCACTATCAATTGCCCTGTATATTATTAATTTTAAAGGTAATTAAAGGTATTTTACAGTTGAGGGTTGGAACCTTTGGTGTTACACAGCAAAATAAAAACACTAAATCACTACAATACACCAAAAACTTTTACTTTTACACTGGACGCGCGTTACGCTAACCATGTTAGCATCATCAGCAGATGATTATAAACTGAAGTTGTGAACAGTTTATAATCATCTGCTGATGATGCTAACATGGTTAGCGAGACGCGCGTCCAGTGTAAAAGTAAAAGTTTTTGGTGTATTGTGGTGATTTAGTGTTTTTATTTTGAAAGGTATTTTCTTAGTTAACATTATAAGGTATAGTGTATATTAAAAATGTATATGTTTTGTAATAATATACTTAAAACTATTTTAATAGCCAAAGGAATAATTAATATAAGTGTTTCTGACAAGAAAAGAAGAATAGAAAGAAACACATACTGCATTATACACAATAAAAAGAATGGGATGCCAATTCAAGTCTTTTTGAATCTGGCAACTTTGCATATTTAGCCGAGCTATAAGGCCGTCGACGAGCCGTCGATCCAAAACCGAAAGTTCAAAATTTCTAAGTATATTCTGATCATGATATTGTCGCGCCATCTAGTATTCTATTTGTGCAATTTTTGCTCTTTCATTTCGAATATTTTTCTGTTGCGTAGCTAGATTTTCTGTGCTTATAGTAAAAAGATTTACAATTTTTTATATACATATTTTTTTGGCTAGGTATATTTTTGAGTCATAATAAAAAGGACATTAAGTTAATAATTTACATAATGGGGAATTCCATAGGTCTGTTCGGTTATTTGAAAGTTTTATGGATTCGTTTTTATTACGTTTATAAATTTTTATAGACTTTAACCTTGGCTTATTGGTGCTGTGTTAAGGATTTTAAAATTATTTTAAGGGAAAATATGACCAGAGTAGAAGTAATTTATATTTTCAAATTGGCTCTATTTTTGTTTTGTGCAGATGACTGATGTTTTGTGAATTTGGTATATTTTTTCCAGTTTGTATAAATTACAAAGAGAATTAATGTAATAAACGTAAAAACAATAGGAAAAATAAAAAATTATAAACAACAAAAACAAAACGATAAAACATTTAAATGGTCAAATAGACGGACGGAATTCATATGCCTCAAATGTAATGAATAATGGCCTCACACACAAAAATACGAATGTCGTCGTTCTCGTTAATCGTCACAATATTATAAATATCCATAATTAATTCAGTTTGCTTGGTGCTTCTTTCAACTGGAGAAATAAACCAGACTAAACTGGCGGGCCGCCCAGAGATGGCAAGGACATGCTCCAGTCGCCGGCCGAAAATCACCGGATGGGGTTTAAACTGCGCAAGTGTTCTTCGCCTGGAGATCGACTATGAAACGGAAAAAAAATGCTTATCCAACCGCCCGCCGGCGAGAGAGCGGTTACTCTATATGACGGATGTGCGCACGCGTTACTCGGAGAGCGCTCGACTCTGAAATAAGAACGAAGAATTTCGGGAAAGCTCCCGCCAGCGGGCGACTGGCGATCGACTATGAATACGGCCGTTAAAGTTCTGCACGAGATTATCTTCTGATGACAAAAAAAATAAATACACACTAGACTGTGCTCAAAATATGCATGTTTAGGAAAGTTATTAATACTATTTAAAGAATTATAGAACAAAAATAATAAATTATTTTAGGCTGCTACAACTTCCATTGGATCTATTCCATGTCTATTCCTCATGAGACCAGCTTTGATAGATCTTTTAATCTGACATATATTTCAAATCTTATTGTTGTGTATTTCTATTGACCTGAAAGAAAAATTACCTAAATAGAATTGCCGCGTTTAGGATTTTTCAAAATTCACTTAAAATTATTAAGCTATGTTTATACAACCGGACCGGAGTTATTCGTTCTACCTGGCCAATTGCTGCAAATAAATAACTAATCATTCTATTAAATATAACATAGTTAAGCTTATCAAAACACAATTCGATAGCATTGTAGTACTTATGTTAAAAATGTGTTATTTTTCAGGGTAAAGAAGATATAATTTTCGGCAACATGGAGGAAATCTACAATTTCCACAACTCCATCTTCCTCCGAGAACTGGAAAAATACGAAACGATGCCAGAAGACGTCGGACATTGTTTCGTCACGTGGGCTGTTAAGTTCGACATGTACGTTCACTACTGCAAGAACAAACCTGAAAGTAACAGTTTACTAGTACAACATAGCGGTACTTACTATGAAGACCTGCAAAAGAAACATAAAGTGGAGCATCCTATAGCAGCATACCTTATCAAACCGGTTCAAAGAATAACGAAATATCAGTTACTGTTGAAAGACCTGCAGAGTTGCTGTAACGAAGGTCAGGGGGAGATAAAGGATGGTTTGGAGGTTATGTTGAACGTTCCTAAGAAAGCTAACGATGCTATGCACTTGTCTTTGCTGGAAGGTTGTGATATTTCAAGTGATAAATTAGGTAAGATATAGTTTGTAATATATTACTAGTTATGGTTATTTTATGGTTAAATTTTTCTTTACTATAAATGTTGTAGCATTTTATTTTAAACACCAACATCTCATATCTAGCACCTAGTGTATTGACATGCACTGAAGCGTTTAATATACAGGGTGGTCCGAACTGTATTCCGCAAACTTCGGCAGTATGTTTGATGAAGTACGGATGAAGATTAGTGTCTGGTAGTTTTTTGACATGAGAAACTTGCTTTTGATGTCAATGTGACTCCTACTTGTAGGAGGCGCCACTTACATGTGCTTTAACTGTTTTGGAAATTAATAACTTTTCGTCCGTACCTGTATAAAATTGGTGAAAAATATACATTCCCGTGATTTTTTACGTAAAAAATGTCTCTTGGTAAAAATCGCTAGGGGCAACCATTCTCAAGATATTTAGTATAGAAATAGTCAATGCATGTCATTATTGACAAAAAATAAACATGTTGAGAGTTGATAGTTATTTGACTGAAATGATAAATTTGGGAACTTATTTATAATTTCATCTCAATCAATCATTCATATCATATTATTCAATCATATCATATTATCAAAACAATCATTATCATTAGTCAACGTGTTTAATTGACATACATATATCAGTGCTACAGGTATTGATAATTTTGATTCCAAATATCTCGTGAACCATTACTCGTAGCGATTTTTACCAAGAGACTTTTTTTACGTAAATAACGTAGTAAATATATATTTTTTTTACTTGGTAGTTTTGTACAGATACGGAAGAAAAGTTATTATTGTTCAAACCAGTTCAAAAATATGTAGGTGGCGCCCTCTACAAGCAGAAGTCATATTGACATCAAAATCAAATTTCTCATGTCATAAAACTCCCAAATACCAATTTTTATCCAAACATTGACATTACTTAAAAAATTATTAGGAAATTTCCAGTAATGCCATTTCCCAGAGGCCATTTATTAACATTTATTTTCTATATTCATCAACCTTGAATATTTATCGAACTATTCTTTGTATTCCAGGGGAAGTTGTACTTCAAGATGCCTTTCAAGTTTGGGACCCAAAACAGCTTATAAGAAAAGGTCGGGACAGGCATATATTCTTATTTGAAATGTACCTTCTATTCACAAAAGAAGTCAAAGATTCGGCCGGTAAAGTCAAATACATTTACAAGAACAAACTAATGGTAAGTATTATTTGTTATTTTGATATAGATAATTCGTTATTTTAATATAAAATAGACGTGCGGTCACAAAAAAGTATTTAAACCTAATGCCTGGTCCAGACCAAGCAGACAAAACGGTGATAAGAAACATTCATGTTTTACGACAAAGTTGTGACAGATCCAATACATTTCTGCAACATTTTTGTCTCCTTTTTGTTTTTTTTCAAATTTCGGAGACTTTTCAATGTCCCGTCTCGAGTCGGTAAAGATCAAAGTGTCTATATGTTTTGTTCGTATATTTTGCGTCAAGTTGTCGGCCCAGTGTGGATGGCGTGTGCTGCCAACAGTAGGAGACCAGTGAAATCACACATGGTTAATAAAACTCATTCGCAACAACTAAACTTTTGACTTTGTTGTACTTTTGTCCTTGCGGTGTGGACAATTTGTCTCAAGTTTGTCTTGTCAGAATTCCCCATTTTTTGTCGCAAGTTTGTCTTGTTTTTGTCTCAAAATCGTGTTTACTTTTTGTCGCCTCGGTCTGGACCCGGCATAACGTTTAGCAGAATTAATTGTAGTTAGTTTGATGAAAGGATTTTGTTTTAAACTTGTATTATCAGTTACATTAAGCTACAGCCAGTATGAGGCGATTGTTTTTTTATTTCCTCTCTTGTTATAGTGATGTTCATTATTTTCATGGATTTTCAAGTTTCAAATCTAGATTTTTTAGTATAATCAGAAATTTAATGGAATAAGTCAGCATTGTTTTGTTTAGACTTCAGAACTGGGCGTAACAGAACACATGGAAGGTGACGAATGCAAGTTCGCTGTTTGGACAGGAAGAGCACCCATTTCCGACTACAGGATTGTCCTGAGAGCGTCCGGTCTAGAAATTAAACAACTGTGGGTTAAGAAATTGCGCGAGGTCATCCAGGAAACCTACTTCAGTGCCGCTCTGCCCCTTACCTTGCCTAAAAGTCCCGCGAAATTGAAGACTCACAGTCAACGATCTAGCAGGTATGTTGAAAAAAACTGAAATAAAACCGTAAAATGTAAAGATATATATCTTAGTTAAGATTTCTCTTGTGCACAGCTCATGATTACTGTAGTTATGACCAGTTAATTAGTGAGATGTTGCTTCAACAGGAAATATCTTATTGAAACCCAGAGGTTCCCACGTCTTACTAATATAATGATAATACTTGCTCCTGTATATAGCGTTTAACGCCTTGGGAGTAAAATGTAGAATGTTTAGGAGGGGAGTTAATCACCGGACCTTACAGATCTATTGTGTGTTCCCCTCTCTTGAGTTATAACGAGTTATAACTCATCATACAGACTCAGGATTTTAGCAAAAGCCAGTATCTGAGACGGCTCCACAGAGGCCAACTCTCCATCCTCGACATCAGCCGTACCGAAGTTCATGGCACGAACAGTGTTTGTCTCGACGCCCTCAGTGATAAAGTGTTCTGGTGTTTCCCCATTTTCTCCACAGAATCTGCATTCGCCGTTGTTTCTCAGCTTCAGCCTACTGGGGTGTTCGTTGAGGAGACAGTGTCCTGTTGTGTTGAAACTCCGTGACAATCCGTGACAATCCGAAGATTTGTAGTAGTTTAGGCTTTAGCGGCCATCGTTTGAACCGTTTCTCACCGACGCACAGTGCTTCGAACATATGGCTCTAGAGGACAAAAATCCAAAACGTCTCTTTTATTGTAAGCAATTTATTCAAACTAGGTTTATTTGACACAAATGATGAGTACTCTCATTGTACTAAATGATGATGTTCTTAGTCCCACGTTTATGAAAAAAAATCTTATAAATAATAATAATGTTGGAGCTGTGTTCCATCTAAGCAAATAATAAGTTATAGTATGAAAACGTTGTAAGTATTAAATAAATTCCTGTGATAAAAAGAATTGAAATAACATTAGAACATGATTCCTACAATATAAGCCTAATATAAGATAAAAATGTTTTTCTTTAATGAAAAAGAAACATTAATGTTATATTTAATTAAAAAAAAAACTTAAGATACTATAAATTTACTTTAGGACAACAAAATGCATAGATCGTAACTACTCTGATTCAAGAGAATCACTGCTGACAGAATCTTCCAAATTTATAGTATCCAAATCAGAGGTAGATGAAGTATCCTCACATATAACATATTTCTGTACATCATTTTCTAATATGTTACTTTTTCGCGTTGTTACTGTTCATTTTGTCGGTATGAGGGGTTCAGATGTTAACAATTTTTTCCTTTTCTTGGGTATGAGATTTTATAATATATAATTTTGAGTTCTTGTCCTTATGATCAAGCCAAGTATTAGCCAGATCGGCATTGCTTATCAATTTTACTCCATCTGAAAAGTATTATAAAATAAAGTTCGTCGCAAGCAGACGCAGGTGAACTATACAAAAATTAAAAGTGTATGAATATGGCAACAAAAATATTCAATAAATACGATATGTTTTGATATGTTTTTTAAATGCCTTTTTGAAGTTTGAAAACGTAAAATTTTTATACCCATTTAAGAATCATCTTAAAAAATAAATAAAAACTAAACAATCACGAACTTGTTTAGAAATAAATTTAAAGTACATACCTTGTTTAACAATATCCATAGTGGCTTTCAATTAGAGTACGCACCCGTTTAACTCCATAATATACAGAACTACTATGAATGTTATTCTTTCCACTAATGAGATAATGATCGCAAAATTTATTTTTAGTGAAAATATTTGCTAACAAAAACGCTGTTTATGAAAAATAATATACAGGATGGTTGAACATTGCTATAAGTATAAAATTATATATTCAGATATTAGTAAATTTTAACTTATTTTTTGATTTTTGTCCATGGGACGAAGCACTGTGCGACGACGGCCTAAAAACCCGAAAAACAAATTTCTTCAATCCGAAGATTGTTTTTCCTCAAATAAATGGGTTAGAGGCTGATGCTGGTGACTATCGCCAGTAAGAGTAAATTCCAAATTTATTCGAGATAAAAAGCATTTGTTTTTACCCGGTATAGTTTTATATTAAAAGACAGAATACAATATGCTATTTTGTTTTTTAATATAAAAGTCGAATTCTCAACGACTTAAAAATTTTAATTTAAGATTTACTTGTATCAATATAAATTATAAAATATTATTTCTTTCCAGGGATATGGAAGAGTGTAACTCTTTAGATGAGAGTGTGGAGAATCTAGATAGGAACTCCTTGACATCCTTTGGCTCAGGAAACACAACAGACTCAGATAAGGTAAGTGCCAGAGTAGTTTTATTGCATGTATTTTCTTATCATCTCAAAAAAACATAAAGAAATATCAGTCTAAAATACATTTATAGTAAATCGTTAGATAATTTCAGTATTATATAATAAATCATAAATAATAATATATTTTAACAAGTAGTCTAGTTAAATCTAAAATTTTTATTAAAATATCTTTGATCTTGTTGAAAAAAAAATCCGTGTCAGCTGATGATTTTTTTAAAATAAACCATATGTTTTGAAATATTTTCTACATTATCAGTAATCGATATTGTGGTTGTAGACACCTGTATTCGCACGTAATGTTGTTTTCTTTAACCGCCATTAGATGTCGCTTGAAAATCAATACTTTCAAAATTTAAAACGTGCTCTATAATTTTTACAATAACCGAATATGAAAATATTGAGCAGTTTTGTATACAAAGTCTTAATTTACTACACTTAGACCGTCGTTTTAATAACTGATAAATGATATCTTATTTTAGTACATTTAGGACATAATTTTTAAAGGTATAATGATTTTTTTGAATACGAAATTCTAAATGAGGGAAAGAGTATAGGGAAAATATGCATATTTGCCTAGTTTGATTGTATTAGTGAGTACTTTATTGTGCCTTTATATGTTCTTTAATATAGTAGATAATTTGAATTCAAATTTGACTACGAGAAAAGCATTTATAATATAACGTTTAAAGTAATTTAAATTAAGATCCAATATTCTAAAATTAATCTTAATAAAAACAAATAAATTAATATTTATTCTTAGAGTAAAAGTTTAAAAATACATTTATATATTTATTTTTAAAACGTTATTTTAGAATTTTAATTAAAGTCCAAGGCCATACAGCCAAAAGTGGAAATCTAACTGAGAAGCTACAATTTGTGATTTATTTATTTTGCCACTTTGTATTTTAATGCCAAGAAAAGGCTAGAATTTAATTTATACGTTTTCTTAATACTTTTTATTTCGACAATACTGCAGACCAGGGTTGGCATGATTTAAATCAAATGATTTAAATCAAGTGATTTTTTAAATTTTAATCATGCGATTTAAATAAAAAAAAATATTATTATTATTGAAACTTTATAATAAATCAAAAAATAACTGTAAAAGTTATAAAAATGTGTCCTAGAAAACTATAAAAAATATTTCTATAACAGATATAACAGAAAATAAATCCAAAAATAATTGTAAATGTTATAAAACTATAAAAATATCTATTCATCAATTTAATTGTTAGACCGATTTTTGACCTAATTTCGTGTGAATCCATTAGACCGCTAAACGCAAGGATTTATTTTAAAATTTATGTATAAGTAACAAATATTTGCTGTTCGGATACATATCATTTGCACAGTCTAGTACAGAACTGGGTTCTTCTAATATAGAGACTATATCTTCATTCCCGAGAATATATAATCGTTGTCAGAAAATATGTTGTTTTATATTATTTTCTTGAAATGGTTGTATGTTTCCAAATTCCTACCGACCTTTGAATAAGAAGACTAAGGAAGGGGCATATCAAAAATCTTAGGTACACCGCGATGGGCCTCAAATATGGCCGACTTAAATTCCGGTTTATCAGTGTCGTTCTAATTTTATTTAAAAAATGTAAAACAATGATGTAGGGTAGACGTGGGGTAGACTCAATAATTTGTTGTTTTATTTTACGTCGTGAATAAATGTTGGTAGTTATTAAAATTGTTATAAAAATATATAATTCTAATAAAAATAGATAAGTTATAATAAGTATTTATTACCACAAACATCCGATACGCTACTGAAGCAGGTAAGTCAAATTAACGTATCTAAATTCTTTGACATCTAATCTTTGACAAGTAATAAATAAAAGCTAAAATGCAAGAAAAATATATAATTTAGTTAATTTAAGTGAATTTCATTAGTAGTTATTAAGTATATTATATAGTCACTTACTAGCGAAAAGTTGTTCCATTATTTCACTCAATTTTTGCCGAGATCTACCGCACGCTACACAACCAACTATTTTAGAGTCTTTTTCGATAAATCGCGATAGTGTCACTGTTGATTTAAGTGCTGCCACAATTTCCATCTAGATTTACTACCTTTATACAACTATCAGTAGTAGAATAAATAATAAATAACATAAAATAAGCTCCGTAAAGACTGACTAATCCACAAAATTTCAAATCAAATTCAAATGTGTCAAATGAATCGTCAAACAGAACTGTCAAGGATCCCCACCCTAGAGTGCTGTTATGGTGCTTTTTCCGCCCACCATGCATGAATACATGGATAGCATTATGCTCCTTCCTTAGTCTTCTTATTCAAAGCTACCGACATTTTGATCAGCAGTAAGTACTTTACACTTTGATATTAGATAATATATCATACTAATTTCATTCTCGAGTTAAGACTATTTCCGAAGAATAGTGTATTGTTTTATTAGGAGTAAAAATTATACTTTTTTTGATGATGCTGTACCTTTGAAGGGCCATCGTAAAGCTATTCCGACGTTACAGGGAGGCATAAAAGTACATTTTTACTCTGAATAGAACAGACAATTTTTTACCCATTACAAATAATTTTTTAATTAATTTCAAACATTGCAAATAATATAAAGAGTAATCGAGCAACAATTCGTACACTCGTTGAATTTGACACTTAATATCAGTTTAGTAATATAATATTTTTGCACTTTTGTGCTTAGGCCAAAGCTTAGGCGTAACAGTGCTTTACTTTTATGCCTAATACTTTTGAGACGTTTAAAAAAATCGTTTTGATCTGAAGCGAACGACTTTTTTGATGGAATATAATGGTAACCGATGTGGAAAAATCACACACCCCGTAGAATTGTTAATGTTTTCGGTATCGGGGTATATATTTAGCCATTTAGGATAGGACTTTAATTGGAAATAAGTCCTAGTCATTAGGAAATCCGATTTAAATATTGTTTTGAATTAAAATCAAAAAAATCTGGTTTAAATAAAAAAAATCTGATTTTTTTATTTTTTTTTCAAAAATCATAATTTTTTCCAACCCTGCTGCAGACTAATTTTATGCAGCTTTCTTCTTCTTCTTCTTCTTAAGGTGCCGACTTCTTGCGAAGGTTGGCGACCATCATGACTAATTTTATTTTGTTGACTGCTGCCCTGAACAGGTCGTTTGATGTACAGTTGAACCGTTCTCTGAGATTTCGAAGCCACGACATCCGTCTTCTTCCTCTGCTTCTCTTCCCTATTATTTTACCCTGGATAATTAGTTGTAGAAGCTTGTATCTTGTACCTCTCATTACGTGGCCCATATATTGGAGTTTTCTGATTTTCACCTCTTAGGACAATTCTAGATCTTTTGAGACTCTTCGTAAGACTTCTTCATTGATAATTCTGTCAACGTATGATATCCGGAGTACCCTTTTGTAAGGCCACATCTCGAAGGCATCTGTCTTTTTAAGCATTTGTTTTGTTAGAGTGGCAGCTTCTAACCATAGAGCATTATTGTAAATATGTAGCATCTTAGCATTCGTATTTTAAGGTGGTTACTTAAAGTTTTGCAACAAAAGAATTGCTTCATTTTAATAAAGGTGTTACGTGCTATTTCAATTCTCGTTTTTAATTCTGATGAGTAATCATTGTTGTCGTTGATCAGGGCTCCTAGATATTTATATTTATAGACTCGCTCTATTATCTGATGGTTTACGATCAGTTGAGTATTTTGATTTTGTGTTTTGGTAAATATCATGAATTTTGTTTTATTAAGGTTCATATTCAAGCCATAATGAATACTTGTTTCATACACTTTTTGGACCATTCGTTGCAGGTCCTGTATACTTTCTGATAGCAGTACGGTATCATCTGCGTATCGTATATTGTTTATAGGAACTCCGTTTACTACTACTCCAGCTGCTTCATTGTGTAATGCCTCCCTCATGATGACTTCCGAGTACATATTAAACAATAGCGGGGAAAGTATACATCCCTGTCGTACACCACGTTTGATGTTGCTGTTTTCCGGGTATTTATTGTCTTGATGTTTGCTGTTTGGTCGTGATATAGATTTTCAATAATTCTGGCATCTGTGGTATCTATTTGCTTTTCTCTCAGAATTTTGATAAGTTGTTCATGACGGACTCTGTCAAATGCTTTCTCATAGTCCACAAAACAGGTGTACACATCCTTGTTAACATCCAAACAGCGCTGAGTCAACACGTTTATACTAAATAATGCTTCTCTCGTGCCAACTCCATTGCGGAAACCGAACTGTGTATCGCTGATGTCGTTATCCAGTTTTTTATAACACACGGTTGTGAATTATTTTTAAAAATAATTTGAGTGTATGGCTCATTAGGCTTATGGTTCTATGATCTTTACATAATCTTGCGTTGGCTTTCTTAGGAATTACAATGAAGGTCGAAACCAACCAGTCTTTTGGTATCGTTCCTGATCTGTAGATCGCATTGAAGAGCTCAGCAAGTGCATCCAAGCTATGTTCCTTAAGCAGTTTTATCATTTCAATGGGTAGTTCGTCTGGGCCAGGCGCTTTCCCGTTCTTCATGTTCGTCAGCGCATATTCTATTTCATCTGTTGTTATAGATCTTTAATCTAAATAAAATATCTGTTACAATCATCTGTTACAATATAAAGTAAAATGAAGGGCTGCTCGGTATCTTAAATGATCAACAAATTTAAACATTTTTGCCAAAATTTCATTTAGTTAGGTTTATAGACTTTGGTGTCAATTTCGATATGATTGATGACGTGCATCGAAAAATGTTTTACGATTACCGTAAATAAATAAAAATAAAAAAAATAATTAGTTGGACATGTAAAAAAATGGATTATGGAAAGTTACAGGGTGACTCAATTTTCTATAAAAAACGCTTGGCATTTTTTACTAGAACTAATCAAATACGTAAGATTCCCGTTGAAACGTAAAGACAAATGGCCCCGTATTTCTGGACCTCAACAATAAACCAGTCAACGCGTCCATTCGTCTGGAACATACACGATCG